GTGCTGAAGGACGGGTGGAGAACATGCAGGCTTATGATGTAGTTTAATATATTGGCAGCATCAAAGATTTTAGTATCCAGTGAAGATTCCCTTTTCAGACGTTATGGCTTTAGGCCCCTGGAGTATTTCACTGAGTCAGGTGTTAGTGTCCTGCGGTGAGTCTCCCAGTTTAGCCATCTCTTCTCACCCTTTCTTCAGCAGTACTCTACAGTTCACCTCACCCGAGTCTGTAAGTTTGCGTGCATCGCTGCCACTAACAGATGGACACTTGGCATTGCTTTGTAAGCAGTGAATATATCCTTTTCATCAGTAACATTACAGAGTAGGCTTTGGCAGGGCGGTGGTGGTGCAATCTATAATGCAAGCACTGGAGAGGCAGAGGCAGGCGGATCTCTGTGAGTTTGAGGCCAGCCTGGTCTACAGAGTGAGTTCCAGGACAGCCAGGGATATACAGAAAACCTCTCCCCCCCCCCCAAAGGTGGGCTTTTAGAAAAGGTGTCTTCCATGCAGGAGAGCTGCACAGGAAAATACTGCACAGGATAACCCTAGACCAGACTGAGCTTGTGATCCTCCTGCCCATGGCTTCTGAGATTATAGGCTGCCATCCCCGCTCTAAATATTGATTTGTTTCTTTGTGTATTTATGAGCACTTGCCTCTGTGTGTGCGCTGTCTGCTTCCCTGGTGTAGGTGGCTGTGAGCATTGAACCCTGGCCACCTGCAAGGACATTGCCCACTCCATTCCTACAGCTCCTCATTTGTTTGTGGGCACACACGTGGGGTCAGAGGATAACTTCCAGAGTTCATTCTCTCCTTCCACTTTCTGTGCTTCAGGGATCAAATGAGGTTGCCAGACTTGGCAGCAAGCCCCTTCACTCCTTGCGCCACCTTGCCTCCCTGACAACCCTTTCCTAACAAATCCACTAACATTGCTCGCTGAGTGTATAGTGACTATGTTTTTGCTAAGCTCCTGGTTAGAAGTCTGTCAGTGCGCTGTTGATGCAGGTACAGCTGCTGCCTGCCCACGC